GGATTGAAGTTAGAAATCAATACAACTGAAACATTCACAACTATGTGCAAATTCAAGAACAGAATTTACAACAACCAATAGTTCAAAGAGAAATTACACGAAAAGTTAGAAAACAATTAAGAGATACATGAACACACAGCATTTCCCACAGTGCTCAGAGGGAAGTTTATAAGTTTTAAATGCCTACATTAAAAAGAAGAAAAACATTAAATTAATAACCTAACTTTAAGCCATAAGGAAATGTAAAACAAGAGCAAACTAAACCCAGGGCTAACAAAAAAGAGAAATAAGAGAGACTGAAATGAAGATGAATAAAATAGAGAATATTATTAAAATAGGGAAAAATCAATACAACCAAACAGTTGGTTCTTTGAAGACATTAGCAAAACAGACAAACTATTAGCTGGAGTAACACTTCCAAAAAGATATAAGACAAAAATACCTGTAATTGGAAATAAATGTGGAGACATTACTATTGACTTTACATCATATAAAGAATAATAAGAACACTATAAATTTTCTATAGTCCAACAAATTAGATAACTTAGAAGAAATGGACAAATACCCTGAAACACCCAAATCACCTAAACTGACCTACAAAAATAAATAGAAAATCTCAAGAGACTTTTAACGAGAGCCTGAATCAGTAATCACACAACTCCCAACAAAAAGTAGTCCTAGATCAGATGGCTTCACTGATGAATCCTATCAAACACTTAAAAAAGAATTAACACCAATCCTCCTCAAACTCTTCTAAAAGATTGAAGAGGAAGAAAACTCTTCCCAATTGATTGTATGAGGCCACAATCACTCTGATACTAAAGCCCAACAAAGACCTCCCAGGAAAAAAAAATTATAGACCAATATCCCTCAATAATATGGAAGAAAAAAACCTCAAGAACCAGCAAATCAAATCGGACAGCATGTAAGAAAAGTATTCAACATAACCAGATGGGATATATTCCAGGAATAACAATGTGGTTCAACATAAGAAAGCCAATAAACATAATAAATCACATTAATAAAACTATATGATCACCTTAAACAATGCAAAAAAAAAAAAGCATTTGACAAAATCCAATCCCTTTTTATAATAGAAACTCTCAGAAAACTAGAAATAGAAGGGAAATTCCTAAACATGATAATGGGTATTTTTTTTAACCCACAGCTAACATCATACTGAATGGTAAAGATGGAAAGCTATCCCTATAAGATTAGAAACAAGAAATGATGCCCAATTGCTGCTATTGAATAGTGTACTGGAAATCACAGACAGCTATTAGAAGGGAAATAAATAAAAAGCATGCAAACTGGAAAGAGGTAAAAGTATCTCTCTCTGCAGATTACATCATCTTATATGCATAAAATCCCAAAGAATCCACAAGAGAGCTACTGGAGCTAGAAAATAAATTCAACCTTGAAGGGCACAAGATCAATACACAGAAATCAGACGTTTCTAAACACCAATAATAAACAATCTAAAATATAAATTAAGAAAGTGATTCCACTTGTAATAGCATCTAGAAAATTAAGTATTGGGGATAAATTTAGTCAAGGAAGCAAAAGACATGCTGAAAACTACAAAACACTGTTAAAAGAAAGAAACCCTAAACAAATGGAAAGGCATCCATCCTGTGTGTTTATGAAGACTTCATCCTTCACAACGCTGAATTTCACAACAACTTCATGGATATGACAACAAAAGCACAGGTAGCAAAATAAAAAACAGATAATAACTCTACATACTACATCGTAATTAAAAACTTTTGCACATGGAAAGAAAAAAATCAAGAAAGTGAAAAGACAACCTACAGAATGAAATAAGAAATTTAAAAATCATGTACTCTGTTAAGAATTAATATCCAGATGGTATAAAGAACTCGACAATTCCACACAAAAGCCAAACACTCAGTTAAAAAGTGAGCAAAGGGCCTTCATAACAGCCCCCCAAGGAAGTCAACACAAACGGCCAGTAAGTACGTGGAAAGATGTTCACCATCACCAGTCATCAGGAAAATGCAGATCCAAACCCACAATGGAGTACCCCACTTCACACCTATTAGGATAACATAATAAAAAGAAGGGGGTAAAAGTGTCAGTTGGAGATGTGAGAGAAGCTGGAAACCCTGCCGTTTTTGGCTGGTGGATGGAAACTGGTGCAGCTGCTGTAGAAAAATGGCAATGGCAGCCTAGTTTTTAAATTTTTTGTAGAGACAGGGTCCTGCTATGTTGCCAGCTGCCTCTCAAACTCCCTGGCATCAAATCCACCTCATGCCTCCGCCTCCCAAGGTGGCTGCGATTACAGGATTGAGCCATCATGCCTGCCAGGTTTAAATACTTTCTTAGGAGATGGACTAGAAATGGATCATCAAGAAATTAAGTTTTTACTCACACATGATGAATTCCAATACGCCAAAAATGTTTAGAACTCAATCAGAATTGAGAACTTCTTTCGGAGGTGCTACATGATTCAATGACTAGGATTCTGCTTCAATCAAGTTATTTTACAGTTATTCCAAGTATTGATTCTTTTGTTTTTCTATAAGTTTTAAGCGAGGGAGATGAGTCACATATGGGCCCTATACACGCACCCAAGCAAGCAACCACCTACCCCACTGGAGATAAGGCTTTGGACCAATTCTCTCATGTGAAATCGAACCTGACAAGATTCCCCAACAATTTGTGAAAGGACTCAAACCATATTCCAACTAAATACATTCTGTTTCAAATAGCATTTCATCAGCAAGTTGCTGTACTATAGCAGAACAAGATCTAGCCCAAAAATTAAGTTCCACAGATTGACCTATTTATAAAGCTTGTATCAACGCAATCACAGTATTGACAACCAAAATCAAAACTTAATAGAGCTATCTCTCCTTCCGTTCTTTTCCTTTGTGAGATAGGTGTCTCACTGTTGTTCACTGCCAGCCTCGACACCTCCTGGCGCCAGTATCCTCCCGCCTAAGCTCTCCCAAGTAGCTTGGAACTAACGCCATGCTGTGTGTGGTTGTTGTGTGGTTTGTGTAAGAGACAGGGTCTCCCAGGCGCTCTTGAACTCCTGGGCTCAAGCGAATCCCCCTACCCTTATCCTTTACAAACTGCAGAATTACAGGTATGAGCCCCCAGATGGCCTGGCCTGATTATCTCTTTCTTTATTCCTAATTTGCCACTCTCAACTGGCTGAGGGGCTGGGTACATCCATTAACTAAATATATTAAAGTAGCAATACTCTGCACTGTTGCCACACATACACATCAATGATTACCACACAGCCCAAGTGCACAGCCCCAGGCACTGGGAGGGAAAACCCAATGGACTCTGGAACCACTCATCCCCGGCTGCCTTGAGAACATGGCTTTTTGTAATTTCTATGTCTAACGTAACTGCCCTCTTCTGGTTAATTACAAATTCTTGAAACTGCCTGAATAGGCAACTCCTAGATAATTGGTGCATTTCGTCCATAATAAAGGTACTACACTTGGAATACAATACTGTAATAGGAGTTGCAGATCAATAATTGGTCTAGAATGATTAAAACTAATCCAAGACATGCCTAAACTGGCAAGGATGGTTCCTATCAGATTTAGGGACAGAAGGGAAAAAAATGTAGAAAGTGAAAGAGACAGATAACGCGGGACCAGATGACACAGTACCTTAAGAACTATTAATTTGAAACATAGGGACACAGAGAATATTATACACAAAAAAGCCACCGTAACAAGATTAATCTGCTGGTTTCAAGCATGACAGAGTAGCGAGACACTGTCAGTGGGGCAATGAATTAGATGTGGTAATTAGCACCTTGAACTTGAATTGGTGTAAATGAAATAAACAGGAAAGAACAAATCTTTAAGGCACAGGCTTGAGGCTGCACTGACAGGATTTAGGCCTTCTGAACCTCATCTCCCTTAAGGTGACAATCCCGTCTCTCGCTGCTTGAGTCCACTCAGAATTCTGTGAGGATGGAACGACTGTCTCCATAGCACACGCACTCCCTCCAAATAGTAAACCCCATTCTACAGTCGTGAGTCGTACGTTACTAACAAAGGGCATAATGAAAAGGTAAGGGTCAGAAATGATGACCAAGTTTCAAGCACAGAAAACATGGGGTGCTATTAACAAACAGAAAAAAATAGAAACATAAAAACAAATATGCTTGAGCGAGGTAAAGGTCTGTTTGCTTTTTATTTAATGTTTTCACGCTGGGCCAAAGAGCTTTCCACATGAATGATCTAAACACAAGACATTAAATATTTAAATGTAAGAAAATTATGGGAAAGAAACTTACAAACATACGAAACATTATTGGTAGTAATTTTTATACTTTTTCTATAGTTTTCAGATGTCAACAGCAATTGTTTCTTTGGAAATAAACTGATATCACACAAATGCAAAGGACTCCTTATTCCCTTTCACAGGACGTCTAAGGAAAAAGCGTAACTTACTCTGTTAGGAGCTGAAAATACCACTCACAATTTTCTGCCATTTCTTTCTCAGTTATCCAAGTACTAGAGGGAAATGGCATGATCTGCGTGCCTTCTACTACCTCCAGTAACTACAGAATTACCTGAAAAATACAGTTAATGGAGCAATGTCCAATCTGAGCAATCTAATATAATAACTGCATCCTTCTCATCAAAATATTCTTTTATGTAAACCTAATACTTACCATTCATATGACATATTGCACAAAATGCCCAGAGAGAAAATATGCAACAGTAAGAGGCAACAATAAACATGATAAACTGCTACCATATGAGAGAATTCACATCTAATTCTCGATGTCTGGGTAGAACACAATCATTCATAACATTCAGCCCAAGAAATACCGACTATGGTATTTCTAATAACACCAATTTACTCAGGTATTATTAAAAATTCTTTTGAAAAGTTTTAGACTTGAGAAGGGTTAATACATATTAAATCATACCAAAGAAATAATTTTTTAAAGATAAAGTCAAACTTAGAATTTAAGAACAAAGAACCATTTCAGTACTTACTAGTCCCAGGGAGACAAATAAACTGGCCCACTGATAAGGGAGAGCTGCTTCCTCAGGCTCTTTGTGAGTTGTTTCCGAAGAGTGTGAGCCACGGGAAATCCAGGAGCTGTTAGATTCTGATTGAAACTTAAGAGTTTAAACTGCGGTTTTCATTTGCCTGTTGAAAGAATATCTTGGCTGTATTAATCTTTTAAATTAAAATTGAACATTTTGCAGGCGAAACTGTAGGGAGTGGGCAACGTCTGCTTCACTGAATAACGCAGGCAGTCAACGTAGAAGGAATTTGAGAAATTCCCACCGTCACGTGAGTGTAATCAATGTTTCCTAGAGGCTTCAGCAGGATGCTGAACCCAGCTCTGAAGGGTTGTCAGGGAACAGGATGTTCACAGGGCTTGATGTCTCATCCCAGATGACTGACTGATAACAAAGGGGAAAGGCCACCTTCACAAAGAGATGTGTAGCCGACTCCATCTTAGCCAAAATTACCAAATACAGCACCAGAAATCATGGGACAGACAGACTCAAACGTCTCCTGGTGTGAGGCAATGAGAAGTACACCACGCTGCCCATGTTTAATCTGAATCCACTCATGAGGAAACTGTTTAATGTGTATTCTTGCAAAAAGGTTTAATCCAATCTAGTCAAGGCGGGGGAGCAATCAGATGTATCTAGATTGTGAGTCACTCTGAAAAACAAAGAGCCTAGATTTTACAAAATGTTTCACGTCGTGAAAGAAAGACTCCAAATTAAAAGAGAATACAGAAATATGACAACCAAAGGCGAGGCTAATCTCTGATTAAACTGTGAATCGAAAACAATAAAAATAGAGGACATTTGGGAGACAATCACATAAATTTCAATGTGGACGGTACAGTAATTTAAATTATTGTACCAAAGTTAGATAACAGAACTGTGATTATGGAGAAAGATGTCCTGATTCACAAGAGATAGATGCTGAAGTGTTGGGGTAAGATGTCACGTTCTCTGCAATTTACTTGCAAGTGATTCAGGGAAGAAAGTATGAAGAGGGAAAAAATGCAAAGGTGGCAAACACTAGCAACTGGTGAATCTGCATGAAGAATATGTAAATCTCCATTGTGTTAGCCTTTGAATTTTCTGTAGGTTGAGAGAGAGGTAGGAAGAAGGAAGAAAAGGCAGGCATTCCTCATCAATTCATACCTGGAAAAAAATGGAGTCCAAAGAAAACCAGAGGCTTAAATTTCATGTGAACATCCAATGAGAACAATAGTGATTTTCTAATGTCAGATTTCGGAAAAGCCACAAAGACTAGAACATTCCTGACTAGGAGCACTTGCAGGTAATGTCCAATCTTTTTCCGGAGGCTCCAGTCCTTCTAGATCTTCATATGTTTAATTCCATCACTCCTGGAATTGCCAGTTGTTCAAAATAAGCCTTTAAATGGTCATCATCAAACATTTCATCATCAATATCATCATCTATTGGTAAACCTTAGGAAAAAATGGGACACACTTTCAAGTGTTGACTGAACAATAATTTGTAATAAAAAAGCTGGTAAGACATAAGTGAGTCGATGAACTATATGATTTTGTTTTTATATTTGACATGAGAAAACTTCTTAATTATAACTCATTATGAAAATAGTATTTAACCTCTTTGAGAGGACAGGAAAGAAAGATCCTGGCATGTTATCAAAACTTAGGATGTGGCTGGGCACAGTGGCTCACGCCTGTAATCCCAACACTTTGGGAAGCCGAGGTGGGTGCATCACCTGAGGTCAGGAGTTCAAGACCAGCCTGGCCAACGTGGTGAAACCCAGTCTCTACTAAAAATATAAAAACTAGCCAGGCGTGGTGGCATATGCCTGTAATCCCAGCTACCCAGGAAGCTGAAGAAGGAGAATCACTTGAGCCGAGATCATGCCATTGCACTCCAGCCTCAATGACAAAGTGAGACTCTGTCTCAAAAAAAAAAAAAAAAAGAATGTGATAAATGTGGCATCATAAATAAATGGGAAGACAGCAGCAGGCTCTTCAGAAAATGAGAGCCTGTCATAGGAGAAGTAAAAGGAAGAAAGAGAAGAACCAAGGAAGAGAGGGAGGGAAGGAGGGCAGGGGTGAGGGAGGGAGAGCAGGGGGGCGGGAGGGAGAGAAAGAGGACACTGCAGGGGTTTTCGATGTTGTAACACCCAGCTCTGCAAGGTCAAGATAAAACAAGAACTCTCAATCAGTCATGGTCCTCTAAGCTGGCACTGCCTTTTTAGCGGTTAATTTTGCAATTAAGTCTCAACAACACTCATCACCTTGACTTAGCAATTTCACCTCCAAGAATCTAGCATACTAAAACAATCAAAGATCAAATACATTCGGGTCAGTAATTCTTTATCCACAATTACACAATCCAACAAAGTCTGAAAAATCCTTTGACAGCAAAACCTGTCCTCAATGGAGTTGATGCTACTTATAGTTTCTATTTATCCCACTCGACTCATCAGACTGACCTTCAACGTCCTGCATAATTTGGCCCCAGCCTGCTTTTCTGGGCTTATTTACCAGTGCAGCCTCCTACAGGTGCTGTAAACCTGCCACACAAAACCCCTGGCTGTCCCCCAAACACAGCCCATGTTCCTCACAACAGTGCCGTTGCTGAGGCCACTGCTGCTTCCTGTCAGCTCCTCCTCCTCCCACATCCAAGGCCTGGCACAGACCCCATCCTCCTTCCGGAAAGCATCAGAGATACCTGCCTCAATCAGAGTTAATTTCTCACCCCCATGATTCCAGGCACGTCCTGGTACTGCCGGATGTAAGTCACCCAACCTCACACTCAGCTCTGTATCTGCTCTTTGCACCTGGCTGAAGTCTCAGAGAGCAGAGGCGAAATACTTCACGGCTCCCTGAATTTCTAAACACAGGGCTATATACTGAGTGGCACCTCTAGGTGACTACTTTGCACCCTAACGATGATAAACTGAGTGAAACTGTATCAGGTTTAATACACAGAAAAAAATTCTGGAATTCCATCACTTAATAGGAGTGGTCATTTGAGTGCCCACAGGAAGGAAGAAAAGGGGGAAAAAACCAAAACGTTGTGGCATTATAGCTACTGCAACAGAAAACGAGAATAAAAAGGAGTGGCAAGGTGAAGACCAGGGAAATGCGGGTGACTACAGGACCACAAGAATCTTCCAAGCCTGTCGATAACGCAAGTTTCTCATTTTCTAATCAGCTAGTGTGGCCTACGTCACTGTTTGGAGTCTTGTCTTCAAATTGTTTTCCAGCATCAAGCACAACAATCTATAAGAACCCAAATGGTGAGTAAGAGAAGCACACTCATGGCTCTGAAGAGCACAGCACAAGGCTACAATAAAGACCCAAGTATGTTGTCAACCTGCAGTGTGCTCAGTGCTTGCAAATCAAACTCAGGTGATGAAGGGATGGCAGTTTTATATGAATTAATCAGTTTCCTTCTTAGCCCCATGCCATCTCCCCCACCTGACTCACCCAAGAAAACACCCTGAAAAGACTTCTCTCAAACTACTTACACATTTTAAGCTTCTCGCAACATTGCCTGCACGTGCTTGGAGAAACTCGCAATACCGTTAGTGTGTTAATACTCACACAGCTGGACTTCAGCAACACAAGGCTTACTAGAAAGCGAAGGCAATAGCAAAGCTGAACCCCGCAGCCGTTCCCTAAGGAACTCTTCACCCGTTACATTGGAGCAATTGATTTCTCTGCTCCTCAACCAGGAACCGTAGAGCCCTAAAGGGCACACAGCCAGTTACTAAAGACTCAGGGCCTGGAATGAAAATGTGATATTTTCCTCCAAGTGCTTATATCTGCTATAAACCAGTTTAATTCTGCTATAAACCAGTAGACTTCTAACTAATATTAATATAAACAGGCACTTTTTGTTTAGAGACAGGGTCTCACTCTGTCACCCAGGCTAGAGTGCGGTGGTGCGATCATGGCTCACTGCAGCCTCAACCACCTGAGCTCAAGCAATCCACCTGATTCTCCCGCCTCGGCCTCCAAAAGTGCTGGGATTACTAGTGTAAGCCACCATGCCTGGCCATTAACACTTATATATATATGTGAAAAGATGTACAGAATATACGCTATTTAAAAACATAAAAAATACTATGTCTTTTTTTTTTTTTTTTTTTTTTTGAGGTGGAGTCTCGCTCTGTCGCCCGGGTTGGAGTGCAGTGGGGCTATCTCAGCTCACTGCAAACTCTGCCTCCTGGGTTCACGCCATTCTCCTGCCTCAGCCTCCCAAGTAGCTGGGATTACAGGCGCCCTCCACCACGCCCAGCTAATTTTTTGTATTTTTAGTAGAGACGGGGTTTCAACATGCTAGCCAGGATGGTCTCGATCTCCTGACCTCGTGATTTGCCTGCCTCAGCCTCCCAAACTGCTAGGATTACAGGCGTGACCCACCGCACCTGGCTGAAATACTGTCTTAATATAACTTACTGTACTATGGATTTGTTAAAAACTAAGGTAAAAGTCATTAAGAAAATGATACAAAGCATAAAAGAACACCTATCAAAATTACAAAACCTCCAAAATGAGTGGACAAAGATCCAAAGAAACCTAATAAAACAACGGGAAAATTACTTCAGCAATAAAATGTAAGCTATGATGACACAATGACAGCTTCTGTCTTAAAAGTAAACATGTTAAAGTAAGAATATTTTTTTAAAAAATTAAAGAAGGCCAAAAAAAACTACAGAGGAAGGGGATTCTCCAATACTCGCACGATCCAGAGGGCTGACGGGCCAGGGAAATCTACCGAGTTTCGGCCCTTCCGGAGGTTGACAAATCTGCAACACAGACAGAGGTTCGAGGGTCACTGGGGGGCACAGAGGCGGAGGGAGGGGGGTTCCTTAGGGTGGGTGTGCAGGTCACAGAGGGCTCCCCCGGCCCTGGAAGGTGGCCTTGGGCCCCTGGCCTCCCCAGAGTCTATCCACAGGGCACCGAGGCCTGTGTGCTGCTCTCTGCTGAGGGGGTTGTCTGTGCCCAGAGTGTCTATAAATGTCCTGCAGGAGGCACTGAGCCCAGGCATGCACATGGGCGCCTTCAGGGGGCTGGACCTCCAGATACTGAAACACAAAGAGGGAGGGGGGAGGTTCAAGGATCAACAGGCAGAGTCTCATGCCCCCAGGCCCTGGGAGGAGCAGGAGGTCTGATGACACAGGATGGGGTGGTGACCTGCCCCTCCACCCAGACCCTCCATGCCATCCAGACAGAAGAGCTGCACGTTGAATGTGTGCCGCTTCCCGAAGCATGTCATTGTTATCGCCCAATAAGACGTGATCCTTCCAACATCCCCACCAACCCTGTCTATGCATTTTCATTTTAAAAATCATTAATGCTTTGGTAAAACATACATTTCACTTAATACATTCCAGCATAAAAGATTACAGAAACCACTGTTGTAAAGAGTAAAAAACGGTGTGTGTGTGTGTGTGTATAAAATACACACACACACACATTCATATGTATATGCTAATTTCAAATTGAAAAGTACATTTAAAACAGTGGCTCCCTGAATCCTGCCCCTCAATTCCTCCTAAGTGAGCATGGCCCTGACTTGTTTTCAAGAGTTTCTTTGTTGGCATCTGACACAGACACAGAACCACTGATGCCCAAGCCGGTGCTCTCTACACACAGAATTCTCCAACTTCATCTTGAGAAATGGGGCCATGAGGCCCCCTGAGGCACCGAGGGCTCCATAGAGACTGAGGGGTCCCTGGGACTGGGCACATCCCAGCAGGTCTTGGATCCTGGCCCTTTCCCTTCTTGATGCCAGGCCCTACTGAGTGCCCGCAGGTGTACAATGCTGGGCTGGGTGGGCTGCTTGTGTGGCAAGAAACCTGGGGCTGCCTCCCTCCCTCTCACACCTTTCCCAGGAGGCATGAAACAGAGGGATTCATGATCAACCCCAGTGGCTGCTCATGCTGAACCGGTGATGCTCCCTCCCCGTTGTCTTCTGGGGACATGGAGGCAGGACTGGGTCCCCTCAAATGAACTTAAGTGGCACTGCAGGCAAGAACGTGGTGCATGGCCCTCAGAATCCTGCATGTGGTAGCCGGACCAGCACCTCAGCCCCTCCCTCATTAAAGCAGCCTATGGAGGGCTCAGCCCAGTGGGCTCAGGGGCTGCTATGGAGAGGGTGTCTGTTCCCTGGAGGATGTTCTCAGGGCATCCTTCACTTGCCTTTAGGGATTTCCACCATGAAGTACAAAGGCCAGAATAGGTCAGGTCAGGCTCTTCAGCATCCTCATCCTCCTTGAGCTCACTAGGTTTTCTGAGGGCACAAGAGAGTGAGGGCAGCCATGGGCACACAGGCATTGTCTGCCTTCCCCTGGTCATGCCGCCCCTGCACACTCACATTTCTTCTGCCTGTTCAAGGTTTGTCTCTATTGCTTTTTCTTCAGGTTCCGGGAGAGGACTTGTTGGTATCTGGGAGGAAGAGAACAACTGCGCATGTCCAGAGACCCCAGTGCAGCAAAAGCCCCCGAGCGGGGGAGGGGGGCGGCCAGAGCAGACCCAGACATCACTGGGAACCCTTCCTGCAGGGTGGGGCCAACTCTTCTGACCTCAGCCGGGCTCCCCGCCTAAACCCTGTGGGGTTGCTCAACAGGATTCAACGCTACAGCCTGGGGACCAGGAATCGAGGCAATGCCAAGGCAGTGGGCAGGAGGGCTGCAGAGGGACTTTATAGACACTGAAGACCAGGACATCGACTGTCACGACGAGACCAGGTCCTTCAGGAGTGTAGGGAAAAGAAAGAGAGATCAGAATGTTGCTGTGTCTATGTAGAAAAGGAAGGTAAGAAACCATTTTCACCTGTATTCTGAACAATTGCTTTGCCCTGAAATGCTGTTAATCTGTAGCTTTGCCCCAACCTTGAGCTCACAGAAACATGTGTTGTATGGAATCAAGGTTTAAGAGATTTAGGGCTGTGCAGAATGTGCCTTGCTAACAAAATGTTTACAGGCAGTATGCTTGGTAAAAGTCATTGCCATTCTGTAGTCTCAATAAACCAGGGGCACAATGTGCTACGGAAAGCCGCAGGGACCTCTGCCCAGGAAAGCCCAGTATTGTCCAAGATTTCTCCCCACTGAGATAGCCTGAGATATGGCCTCAAGGGACGGGAAAGACCTTACCCTCCCCAAGCCTGACATCCATGAAGGGTCTGTGCTGAGTAGGGTTAGTAAAAGACGAAGGCATCTTGCAGCTGAGATAAGATGAAGGCCTCTGTCTCCTGCCTGTCCCTGGGAACTGAATGTTTCGGTATAAAACCCGATTGTACATTTGTTCTCTTCTGAGATAGGAGAGAAACCGCCCTGTGGCAGGAGGCGAGACGTATTGGCAGCAATGCTGCTCTGTTACTCTTTACTCCACTAAGATGTTTGGGTGGAGAAAAAGCATAAATCTGGCCTACGTGCACATCCACGCATAGTACCTTCCCTTGAACTTATTCGTGACACAGATTCCTTTGCTCACAAGTTTTCTTTTTTCTTTCTTTTTTTTTTTTTTTTTTTTTTTGAGATGGAGTCTTGCTCAGTCACCCAGGCTGGAGTACAGTGGCACGATCTCGGCTCACTGCAAGCTCCGCCTCCCGGATTCACGCCATTCTCCTGCCTCAGCCTCCCAAGTAGCTGGGATTACAGGCATCCACCACCACACCCAGCTGATTTTTTTTTTTTTTTTTGGTATTTTTAGTAGAGACAGAGTTTCACCATGTTAGCCAGGATGGTCTCGATCTCCTGACCTCGTGATCCACCTGCCTCGGCCTCCCAAAGTACTGGGATTACAGGCGTGAGCCACCGCGCCCAGCCTGCTCACATGTTTTCTTGCTGACCTTCTCCCCATGATCACTCTGTTCTCCTGCCGCATTCCCCTTGCTGAGATAGGGAAAATAGTAGTCAATAAATACTGAGGGAACTAAGAGACCGGTGCTGGTGCAGGTCCTCCGTATGCTGAGTGCCGGTCTCCTGGGCCCACTGTTCTTTCTCTGTACTTTGTCTCTGTGTCTTATTTCTTTTCTCAGTCTCTCGTTCCACCTGACGAAAAATACCCACAGGTGTGGAGGGACAGGCCCCCTTCATCTGGCACCCAATGTGGGGCTCGAACCCACAACACTGAGATTAAGAGTCTGCTGCTTATGTTGAATTGATGATACTCCCTCCCTGTTGTCTTGTGGGGACATGGAGAGCAGGGCTGGGTCCCCTCAAATGAGCTTAAGTGATACTGCAGGCAAGAACGTGGTGCATGGCCCTCGGAATCCTACATGTGGTAGCCTGACCGGCACCTCAGCCCCTCCGTCATTAAAGCAGCCTATGGAGGGCTCAACCCAGTGGGCTCAGGGGCTGCTATGGAGAGAGTGTCTGTTGCCTGGAGGATGTTCTCAGGGCATCCTTCACTTGCCTTTAGTGATTTCCACCATGAAATACAAAGGCCACAACAGGTCAGTTCAGGCTCTTCAGCATCCTCATCCTCCTCGAGCTCACTAGGTTTTCTGATGGGACAACAAGACAGTGAGGGCAGCCACAGACACACAGGTATTGTCTGCCTTCCCCTGGTCATGCCGCCCCTGCACACTCACATTTCTTCTGCCTGTTCAGGGTTTGTCTCTTTTGCCTTTTCTGCAGGTGCCGGGAGAGGTCTTGTTGGTACCTGGGAGGAAGAAAACAACTGCACATGTCCAGAGACCCCAGTGCAGCAAAAACCCTGGGGCGGCAGGTGAGGGCGGCCACAGCAGACCCAGACATTACTGGGAACCCTTCCTGCAGGGTGGGGCCAACTCTTCTGACCTCAGCCGGGCTCCCTGCCTAAACCCTGTGGGGTTCCTCAACAGGATTCAGCACTGCAGCCTGGGGACCAGTAATCGAGGCAATGCCAAGACAGTGGGCAGGAGGGCTGCAAAGGTACTTTATAGACACTGAAGACCAGGACATCGACTGTCATGATGAGACCAGTCAAAGGAACCCAAAATAAGGAAAGGACAAACCGTATCATGCTAAAAACATACGTTTTTTCCTGGAGGATGTTTCCTCTAACTCCATGTTGCTTGGGAATTAAGTGATTTTGCCCCAAGGAGAGAATCAAGCTGCTAAGGAAAAAGCTCACTGCCGCTCAGTGCGTGGCTGATGCTGTCATTTTCTCCTGCCGTCTTAAATCAAACCTCAGTGGGGAACAGACTCTCACTCTAAATTCTCCCTACCAAGGACACTGTATAAGTCACCTATAATACATACAGATTCTCATATCTTATTTTAGTTCAAGAAGATAAAGCTAAGAAAGTAACTTTTTCTCTGACAACAGCAGGTGGCCTGACCTTCAAATATTGGGAAGCGTCCTCAGTTGAGCCTTTGTTGCTGTCTTCCAGGGGCTCCTTCCTGGAACCTAGGAGGACAAAGAGCGATGGTCAGCGGGTGCGAGGCAGGAGCAGGGAAAAATGGCTTTCTAGTTCCAGGCCACCTCATCAATGTGAAATAACCCATATCGAACAGGACACACCACCCAGGGCAGGCTGTGCGTCCCTGCAGCCTCTCAGGGCTCCTGCCTCTTAATCTGACCTGAGCTCACTTGCCCTCCCTTCCTGAGTCCTTCCAATGCCATTTCCTCCCTAGAACCCACCTGTGGTGCTTCTGTGTATATCAGTCATTCTGGAATATTTTATACTTGGTAAAAAGCAAACTTTGTTCTGAGAGACTTCATTCTAGCCCCAATATTCTATACATTCACCAATCTTTTGTGTTAAAGACAATAAAACAGAGCTTTGAAAATACTCAATTATCCCCTATTTAAAGATAACCCCACTTAGCAAGTGCTGGCCGTCCTTGCACTCAGCCTTCTCAATGCGATGTCTGTGTGTCGGGGTCCCCTGCTGCTCACACGCACACTGGCTCTGACACTGGGACAGCACGTCATGGGGGCAGCAGGTGGCAGCACTGACCATCTCCAACCCAGCTGTGCCGGAGGTTCCAGCAGGGGAGATGGTTGCTAGGCTAACACCCAAGTTGTATCTGGAGACCATATTTGGCGCTATGTCTCGATTGTGTTTACTACTCAGCTGAAGCATTTTCTCTTTCTTTCTTTTTTTCCTTTTCTTTTTTTTTTTTTTTTTTTTTTTTGATAGAGGCTCTCTGTAACCCAAGCTGGAGTGTAGGGGCATGATCTCTGTTCACTGGAACCTCTGCTTCCTGGGATCAAGTGATCCTCCCAACTGAGCCTCCCAGGAAGCTGGGACTACAGGTATGCAACCATGCTCAGGTAATTTTTTGTATTTTTAGCAGATACACGGTTTCATCATGTTGCCTAGGCTGATCTCCAACTTCTGGACTCAGGTCATCTGCTTGTCTTGGCCTCTCAAACTGCTAGGATTACAGGCGTGAGCCACTGTTCCTGGCCAACCGGAGCATTGTTAAGGCTTGTGATAATCATGTTATTAAATACAATAGAGCATGTTCCTGAATATTCCCTGCTTTTGACCATGAGCTGAGAAATGACCCCACCACTACTGCCAGAAGCCTGTGAGCTCGCTCTGTGTGTTTCACATTAATGACCACACCAAAGACCAGTGTAAAATGTACCTACTGCAACCCTGGGTTAGGCAGCCTTTGAGACCTGCCTACAATGACAGACAGTGTTGGGACCTCTCTAGGCTCTCATCCTTCCACATGCACACACAGATGCCGGAACTCCCTGGACTAATGGTGAGTTATACCAGGGCTGGCTGGTGAATGCACAATAGTCACCCACTGCATCAATCCTCCTCCCATTGCTGAGTTCACATTCGCCTCTTCCATTTAGGAGATTGAGAGCCTGGGAAATTCATCTCTGCACCGTCTCTATCTGAGGATGAGGATATAAAATTGACCTTCAGGTACAGCTGTGGGGGAGGATGAATGCATTCATTTATGTGAAGTGTGCAGTGGTGATGCAATTTCTTAGAAACATTGCTCCTTGGGTTGTGCTCTGCACAGGGGAACATGCTTTCTGGGGAAACGCCCACACACTCCCAAAGACATTCCCAATCACTCCACAAGCACTCTCTCCTCCGTACCTCCCTACCCTGAGGCACAACACACTGTTCCATCTACATGACAATCCTGCCTCCCCGGACTCCAGTGATGGTCACAGGTCTCTACTGAACTCAGTGTTTTTTATACCAAACTGTCCAAACCTCATTTCTGTCAGGAAGCTCAAACCAAAGTGGCTCTCCAGCAAAAGCAGGCGAGCAAGTGCCACCTTTTGCAACACTGACGATCTTTTCTTAGCAAAGGACTGATTCCAGAACACACACCTTTTTCTTCAGGCAGTCCGCTGGCCTGCATTTAGAGAAAGAAAAACACTGTGAGTTTCAGACCATCCTGAGTCCCGTGTGCACAGGTCTTTTCTTCACTTGGTGGCAGTAGAAAAGCAGATGGAAAACAGTGATCAAGTCAAGGGAACACAAAAGAAGAACAGGACAAAGCAACTCACGCTCAAGTTTTGTTTGTTTGCTTGTTTGTTTTTATTTTATTTTATTTTTTTTTGAGGCAGAGTCTCACTCTGTCCCCCCAGCTGGAGTGCAGTGGCCAGATCTCAGCTCACTGCAAGCTCCGCCTCCCGGATTCACGCCATTCTCCTGCCTCAGTCTCCTGAGAAGCTGGGACTACAGGCGCCCGCCACCTCACCCGGCTAGTTTTTTGTATTTTTTAGTAGAGACGAGGTTTCACCGTGTTAGCCAGGATGGTCTCGATCTCCTGACCTCATGATCCGCCCGTCTCAGCCTCCCAAAGTGCTGGGATTACAGACAGGAGCCACCGCGCCCGGCCTAAAGTTTCTCCTGGAGGATGTTTCCACTCAAGGTCATGTTTCTTGGCAATTAAGTGATTTTGCCCCAAGGAGAAAATCAAGCTGCTGAGGAAAACGCTCACTGCCGCTCAGTGCGTGGCTGATGCTGTCATTTTCTCCTGCCGTCTTAAATCAAACCTTAGTGGGGAACAGACTCACTCAGAATTCCCCCGACCAAGGACACTGTGTAAGTCACCAATGATATATACGGCCAGGTTATCATATCTTATTTTAATTCAAGAAGATAAGGCTAAGAAACTAACTTTTTCTGTGACAACAGCAGGTGGCCTGACCTGCCACTGTCGTGGGGCCTCCTCATCTGATTCATAGATGAATTTTTCCACGGGACCCTCCATGGGACCTAGGAGGACACAGAGTGACCATCAGGAGGTGCAGGGGAGGAGCAGGGAAGGCTTTTGATCCCCAGGCCACCTCCTCAACGTAAAATAGCCCATCTCGAACAGGGCACACCACCCAGGGCAGGCTGTGTGTCCCTGCAGCCTCTCAGGGCTCCTGCCTCTTCATCTGATCCGAGCTCACTTGCCCTCCCTTCCTGCGTCCTTCCAACGTCATTTCCTTCCCAGAATCCACCTGATAATTACAGCTGCTGCTGTAAATATCATCCCACCTAGCAACCTTTCTTTAAAGAGAAGACTTAATTGTAACCAAAATATTCTAATTATTTCCTCATCATTTTTGAAGGCAATGAAATAAAGCTTTGAAAATACTCAGTTTTCTTCCTATTTAAAGGTAACCCCTATTTAGCACGTGCTATCTGTCCTTCCACTCTTTCTTTTCCATACGTGTGTGTGTCCGTGGAGTCTGTTGCTGCTCACACGTACACTGGCTTTGACACTGGGACAGCCTGTCATGCGGGCAGCATGTGGGGGCGCTGACCCTCTCTAATCCAGCTGTTGGAGATTCCAGCAGGGAAGAGGGGGCACCAGGCTGACACCCAAGTTGTTTTTGACACCATATTGGGCGCTACTTCTTGGGTGTGTGTGTCACTAAGCTGGAGCATTTCTAAGGCTCGTGGTCATCATGATTTTGGTTTGTTTTGGTTTGTTTTTTTGTGGTGAGATCTCACTCTGTTTCCCAGATGGCATGCAGTGGCACAATCAGGGCTCACTGAAGACTCCACCTGCCAGGCTAAAGCAATCCTCTGGCCTCAGCCTCCTGAGAAACTGGGACTATAGGAGCACGTCACCACGCCCGGCTAATTTTTGTGTTTTGTGTAGAGATGTGGTTTTATTATGCTGCCCAGGCTGATCTGAAACTCCTGGGCTCAAGTGATCCTCCTGCCTCAACCTCTCAAAGTGCTGGGATTACAGGCATGAGCCTCCCCATTGGGTCCAATCATATCTTTAAACACAATAGGACATATCCCTGATTATTCTCTGCTTTTGAACAGCAGCTGAGAAATGACACCACCACTGCAGCCAAAAGCCTGTGACTCCCCTATGTGTGTTTCACATGAAGGACCACCCCAGACTCCACTGTGTTGCTACCCTGCCTTTCGCCATCACTGAGAACATCTTACAGTGCTGGGCAGTGTTGGGATCTCTCTAGGCTGTTGTGCCTCCACATGCACACACAGATGCTAGAACTCCCTGGTGTGGTGACGAGTTATACCAGGACCACGTGAGGACTGCGGAGCAGCAGCCCATCACGTCACCATTTCACCCCTTCCTGAGTTCACATTTGTCTTTTCCATTCAGGAAATTGAGAGCTTGGGAAATTCATCTCTCCACCGTCTCCAATCTGAGGACAGGAGATGTTCAACTAACCTTCCGGTACAGCTGTGGTGAAGGATGAAGTGTTGACTGATGTGGGGATGGAATGTTGTTTCTAGAACATTGATCCTTGGGTCGTGCTTTGCACAGGGGAACATACTTTCTAGAGAAATGCACACACACTCCCAAAGGCATTCACCATCACACCACACGGACTCTCTCCTCCATACCTCTCCACCCCGATGCACCCTATTCCTATTTAAATGACATCACTGCTTCTGGAAACTACCGTGGATGGCCACAGTTGCTGACTCAACTCTTCATTTTTTCACACCAAACCACCCAAACCTCATTTCCAGCAGGAAGCTCAAACCAGCAAAAGCCGGGAGGAAAGCGTCACCTTTCTCAACACTAAGATATTTTCTTAGCAAATGGGTGACCCGCAGAGTACATACCGCTTGACTGAAACGCTGAGTCCCTCTGCAGAGAGAAAGGAAAACACCGTGAGCGTCAGACCAGGCTGTGTCCTGTGTGCACAGGTCTTTTCTTCAGTGGCTGACATTAGAAAACCAGATGAGAAATAGTGTTTGATGCAATGGCCCCAAAATAAAGCCTAGAAGACACTTGTGGAAAGGCAGGCACAAGAGTTTTGTCTAAGACTTTCATATGATTTTTGTTGCAAATTCACCATTGTTTTCAAACAGTAAGCACTTCTCCTGAGGAAAAGGTTACCTGCACACAGTAACTGAAGGTGTCATCTATGCGTGCCATCTGGAGCCAGTTCCTAGTTGGTCATGAACTCTCACATTTTCCCACCAAGAAATTCTGTAA